TAAGGAAATATTATATTTATATAAATATAAATATAATATATAAATATAATTATATATTTATATATTATTTATATAATTATATATTTATAATTATATATTATATTATTATATAATATATTATATAATTATATAAATATAATTATTTATATATAGAATAAAAAACTTACAAGAAAAACAGAATCTGATGATGTATCTGAAATAGAATTTTTACAGTATTCTTTATTATTGTCTGGTGTAAATACATCGACATCTATTAATTTATTATTCATATCATATTTTTCATTTTTTTCCATTACAGTTATACATTCTTTTATTATATTGGAAGAATTATATGTAAATTCATCTTTATTATTCATACAACTTTCAATATGAGTTTCTGATACCTTTGCTTTTAATTTATTAAATCGATCTGTTAAATCAGATATTGAAGTTTTTATGGATGTATTTGCTACTGATGTCATTAAATCCTTTTCTATTGGAAATATAGATTTTACTTCTTTATTCAAATCCATGTTTTCACTTAATTTTGTATTTTGTGATTTTTCTGATGAACAGCTTTCTAAAAATGTACGATTCATAGTTCCATTTGATAACATTATTGATGAATTGATTGTTGAAGAAACAGAATTTAATTTAGGTATAGAAGAAATATTTGATAAATTTGAAATAGAACTTTCATTAGAATAACTTTTTAAAAATCCTTCATTCAATAAATCAAGTGAATTTGAAGAATATATATTAATATTATTATCTGAATCAATTCCTAAAGATTCAAATAATGATACTTGATGTAGATATTGCGATTCTTTTGGAGATATAGCTTCTCCTTGTGAAAAAGAACGTCTAAATTTTGGAACTTTTAAAGTTACATTAGAAAATGGAATTTGTTCCATATTTATTTTATCTTTCTGCACATGTAATGACATTTTATTTTGTAAAATAGATTTTATTTGATTTTTATTTGATTTATTATCAGTTTCAAATAATATATCATTCATTTCAGATTGATTTAAAATAGATAAGTCATTATCTTGAATCTCAATAATAGGTACATCTGATTTTGAATTATTACATAACATATTAGCATTACTTACATTAACAATTATATTTTCATTAGATATTTTATTAGTAATTATATTATTTGTACTTAATTTATTGATTAATAATTCATCTGCTGTTTGGTTCATTTTTAATTTTTGTGTATATATTTTTTGTTTAACAATTGAATTATCTGGTAAATCTAGAGAAGATGATCTTAATGAAGACTTCTGTTTGCATTTTAATTTCATTGCTTTTTCTAAAGTCATTTCAAAAGGGTCATCTTTTTTTTGAATATATTCTGTAGTTTTATGTAATACCATATCAAAAGGATTGTTTTCTAAACTATCACGTTTTCCTATTATTAGAGAATTTTGTTCATTTTTTCGAGTATTAAAATTCTTGCATATATCTGTAGGAACTGGTATTAAAGGTGATGCAAGTCTTGAACTTAATGAACCCTTTATATCAGGGCTATTTAAATCTATAAGGTCACACATTTTCACGTATTTTTATTTAATAATATTTAGGATTTTCGTTTTTAATAGTGTTATTTTCACGGTAATTAAATATTATTAAAAACATATCAATATTTCATATCATTTTTATTATTTATAAACACCGTTATCATAACTTGTCAATGTACAATTTGTTTCTCAATAGATACATAATTTTTAAGATTTAAGATATATTATTATTTTTAAGATTTATAAAATCTTATTAATATTTAAAAATCATTTGTATTATACGAATGCCACTTTGAAATTATAATTGTAAAAGAGTTTGTTCTTTTATAACATTCACGTAATATTATCAGATATTAATTTCTATCTACAGTTATTACAGACATTTTAAAAATTTTTACTTTACTGCCCTCTAGTAAATATTTGAAAACTAAATGTTAAACGGAATTTATTTTATTTACAACGTATTTCAAAATAGTTTTAAAAAATAATAATAAATAAATATATAATTATTTTTAATAATTTAGAAAATTGTTGTATTATTAATATTTAATTTTTAACTCACAAAAATCATAAAAAAATAAATGTTTAAATATTATATTGGTTTAATTATATTCTCACGTCATTGTTATTCCAAATATTCTAGTCGTCATTTACTTCATAATAGATATCTACTATCCGAAGCTAAAGAATTTTAATTTTTATTAGTTATATTATATTGAATGATATATATTTATACATGAAAAAAAGAAATTGTTACCACTATATTAAAGTAAGTAAAAATATTTTAATAAATATATTACATTTTTTTTTAAATTGAATTCTAATTTTAAACTGATATATTTAGATAATAACAAATAAATAACTATTTTTAAAACCATTTCAATTATATTATTTCTATATACAATTTAAAAATTATTAAATAACAAAAAACTTATTATGATTCTTTTAATCTAAGACATAAGAATTTTGAAAGACTTTTAGATTTTTAATTTTTTAAGTATAAAAAAAGGAATTGATTTATATTTATTAATATTTTTATTTTCAAAATTATTATTAAAATATTTGATCTCATTGTTATTAAATGTAAATATATTTCATAAGTTATATAAAAATTTATACTTAGAAAAAGATATAACATAATTGAAAAAAATTAAATTTAGATAATTTTGTCTTAAATTCATGAATAAAATTAAAGTTTTTGTTTTTTATGTAGATTTTCTAGTAAAAATTGTTTTCAAGTTTATCGCATTTCACTAGTAGATAAATCTTTTCTTATTGGTGCGCACTTAGAAGGAAATGATATATGATTGGCTAACAAACATTGTATATACTTGGACATAACCAATCACATTATTTCATTGCGTTTACTAACGCAATATAAAGATGCACATAAGAAGATTGCTTCGTTAATGTTGGCGTCATCATTAAACAGTTCTTCCGTTGACTAAGGCAAGAGCATTTGGACTTCGGTAGTTTTTTTATTCGTTAAAGGCATCTTTTACAAGCACGGTGTTACTGTGCACTAAATTGATGATTCGATAGTGCAAGATTAAGTGATAGTGCAATAAGAGAATCAATTATTGTGAAAAATGTCAACGAAAGCAAGTAAGAAGACCACGGCGACGTCGAGTAGCAACGTGCAGTCGCCACAATTTACGTCAACACCGATTGGACAACGACCAGGAAGTCCTTTGAGTCCAACTCGTTATTCACGTCTCCAAGAAAAACAAGATTTACAGAATCTCAATGACCGATTGGCTTGCTATATTGACAAAGTACGGCATTTGGAATCCGAGAATTCCAGACTTACGCGGGAGGTACAGACAACCCAGGAGACTATCACCCGCGAAGTATCCAACATCAAGTCTATGTACGAACATGAATTATCCGACGCAAGAAAATTATTGGATGACACTGCAAAAGAACGAGCAAAACTTGAGATAGATACTAAACGATTATGGGATAACAATGAGGAACTTAAATCCAAGTAAGTCTTTTTTAATTTTTTTTTTAAATATGATAAAATAATAAATAACATTGTGCAGCAGTTTCTAAAAATTATGAAATTCAGAATTTTGAGTTGATAAAACTCGAATGAAATTTCAAAAATATATTTTCAAATTTGAAAATATACTACGGATATATCGAAATCCCAAATAATTCTATATATTTCGTTGCAATGTTTGTAACAAACGCTCACAGAATATTAATATGAAATTCGTAGAGTAAACCATTTCCGTCATACCACCCACTAATAGCAAATATTTATAAAATATATATTGTTTATCGAATGCATAGACAGAAAAAGAAACATAAACATTATAATATAAATAATATATAATATAAATAAATAAAGGATATGAAAGTGTTATAATAACGTTTACGTTACAAAATTTACTTTACTTTTTATTGCTTTTTATATATTAATTTAAAGTAAATAAAAAATATATTTATTATTTATTATTTGAAAAATATATTTATTTTTATTCTAGTTTTTATTATCAAACATTCATTAAATATTCATTATTTTCTTATAAAAACTTCATTATTATTACTATAATTTAAAAAGAAAAAATAATTATATTAATATTTTCAGTTTATGTTTTGTATATAAAATAAATATATAAATAAAATAAACTACAATACATATTTTATTACAATATTTAACTACAATACATATTTTACTTGACGAATCTTGGGAATTTACATCAATGATAATAATGCGTCTTAGAGATATATGAATCGGTGCAATTCTGATTTCGAAGGAGCGAGGTTAAAATTATTGCGAGATTTACAAGTTGTTATCATAATCAATATATTTGATATATTTAATTAATTAATATTAATAATATATTTATTTAAGCTATAATATATTTTTTCATAATTATTATTTTCGGAATTTATAAAAATTATTTTCATATAATTGTTTATACGTAGTTTGTCATGCACCTTTTTTATATATGTATCAGTATTTTTTTACTTCTTTAATTATGATTCATTGCATTTACATTTTAAAATTACTGTCGCGCGTATATTGAATGGATACAAACTATGTAATGAAATGCAAATATTTTATATATGTATGATCAATTGCAAAAATTCATTTATACAAATTATTTAATTAATCTTTCTTCGTATGATGAAATATATTATATTTAAATATGCTTATAATATAATAAAACAAATTAATTATTATCAATTACATTAATTTCTTAAAGAAATGCAATATTATAAATATATATAATTT